CAGTCGCAGTCGCAGTCGCAGTGCCACTGGTAGTGGTAGTGGTAATTGTTGATGCTACTGTCGCTATTGGTGTTGTTGCTGTTGGCACTGCTGTTGTTGATCTTACTGCAACAGTAGTGGGAGCTGTTGTTGTCGAAGTTGCTGTTGCGTTTCTTCCAGGGCTAGCAGTATGCTTGTTGTTACCATGGGTTAGTATCGGGGCAACAGGAGCAGCTGCATCTTTTCGCAGCCAATCACAATATGAAGACAGTCGAAGAGGGCATGAGTGAGAGCCGACGACAAGCACTGAACATCCGGCAGCTTGCCGCGAAAGACCACACGGAAGAGCGAAAGCAAGGCCTACCGCGGCAATAAAATGAATGACAATCAGCAAACTGCAAAATTGTTGGCCAACACTTCATGTGATAAGCTCGCAGCGTACACAGCATGGTCAGGACAGGAAGAGGAAGGCACGAACAAACTCAATGAGTAGTACTCCCTGCACAACCGGACGATATTGCGAAGAAGACTATAATCGAGGATCAAACAAGCTGACCAGTCGATCGCGATAGTCCGATAGGCACATCGTTTTGGTGACAAAAACAAGAGACTCATATAGCAGGTTTTCGATCAGTAACTTCCTTGAGAGTCGACCGCATGTAGCCGCTTCGGATCAAAGGCAGCTTGGGGCCTCCCCGAAGTCCTCCGGGGCTGTCCAGTGCGCGGCACTTGCCTCTGCGAGTGGCCTGCCCACACATGTCTTGATGTTTTCGCACGTCAAATCGCTATCCGTCACCAGGCCGAACCTCTCAAGCAGGTTCGCCGCCACACCCATAGGCGCTCGTACGATCGGGTACCTGCAAGGATGCGTGTGCAGTGTCGAAACAAGCACGAGCATCATGCTTCTCACGCGCACACGCCCTCGGCGGGGTAAACATCCGCTGACTGCATCGAGTAGACACCGCTCGGCCTTGATTTCGCACCGCTGGACTTGCAACGCAGAACAGCAGGTGCACGGGACGAAAAGACGATGATGTCGCAAAGCCCGTGCGAGTTAGACGCCGACTTGCTCGTGGAAAGTAGCACTTGTGCAGTTGGATACTGGGGGACACACTGCAGGATCGCATTGGAGTGAACAACCCGGCCAGATGCCTCCACCGGAACTATTACATGTCTGCGCCCTTTGGTCGGAGCTGGTCATGGACACTTCAGGACACCATTTGACAGAGGCGAGAGACGCAGCGGGCACCCTTGACGACAAGGCTACACAGAGGCAGCCGCCTGCGGTATCTCCTGTCGCAGAATGATGGAGCAGTTCCAATTTGCACGAGCTTCGGCAATTAAATACATTGCATCCGAAGGTGTACGGCGACTTGAGACAGAGACAAGCTCTACATTGCAGACGTTCACGTCCTGTTGCGCTTCCTCTGTGTGCGGGGAAGGCAGTTTGCGGAAACCCACTACCTCGCGACTGCAGCAAGGCAAGCACCGGAAGCCTTGCTTGACAACACTACCCGGCAGGAGGCGTCAGGATTCGCACCCCAGCCAGGCCTTCGACCCGGGTGGCAGCCCTGCGGGTACTTGGTAGTTCGGGTCGGTAGGATCCGTCGCCTGGACATGACATGGCGAAGCTGTTGGCCAACCAGCCTCCCGGGTCCCGGGTCCTCTGAAGGCGCATCCTTCCGATCGGTCTGTAGCCTCAGAAGCAGGTCGAGCAAAGGCCGCGGAGCCATAGATGCGTTTCCGGGTAGTCGATCACTTCAAACTCCATCAAACTCCTTCCGTGGCCATAGCCCGGATCCAACCGGTCTAGGGAAGTCACGCCGCAGGATTGCTCGGCCCCAGAGTGCCTCGGCCCAAAGGAAAACTCAAAGAGAGCTACGGCTCAGGGCGACAGGAAACCCCGAACGATCTTAGTTGTGGCAGGTGCGCAGTCTATGTCATGCTGCAATGTTGTCACATGTTGCCAGGAGGCTCCACATTCATCGTCTTTGCGTTGCCTTTGAACCCCGGATTTCTGCGAGTTGGGGACCTTTGCTTTGTACTGTAGGTTGGACCAGGCTGTCTGAAACAAACGCGCCTTCTGGTAATCTGTCTGGTGCTTAGTAGGGAATTTTGGGAATGGGTTATAGGGACTACTATAAGGGACCTTAAGGGACTATCATAGGGATCCATTCCCCCATTCCCGACTAAGCAGCAGACAGTTTAATGCGTGGTGTGCTTTCCTTGCTTCGTTTGCGATCCTCGGGGCCCCGGCCGACTTGCACCGCCAGTTTCTGCATCTGTGCAGCCTGGGAACATGAGGTAAACATATTGTAGGGGAAAAATATCCCCCAAACATATTATAGGGGAACAAATATTTTCCCAAAAAAGTATTATTAGAGGAAAAAATAGTTTTTCCCCCATAAAATGTTGGTTGAGACTGCATGCCTAAGCCCTTGCCTTCTCACAGTAGGCGAAGGGAGTAGCCGGCTGTCCGCTGGAGCTCCAGTCGCACCTAGGCCAGAAGCATGGCGATTCAAAAGGAAGTTCTGACGCAGCCTGTAACGGGCACTCCGAGGTACTGACACGCGGTATCCTTTCAGGACCCGTTCCTTCAAGGAAGTTGAACCGAAAGCAGTGAACCCGGACACCCTCACCTGTGACCAATGAGCTAGCATTGCCATGGCCGATCCTGCCCTCCCCCGCTTGCTCGCTCAAATTCACGGGCCTCCACATCGGCCGCGATCTCCTCTGTACTTTGCAGGGAGCGCTGGTGTTCCGCACGCAGCCTGTGACAATACTTGTGCAGCAACTGAAGGAGTTCAAATCACTCGGCCCGTCACCAATTAATCCAAACAAGTCAGACAAAGGTAATCATGTGTGACCCAAGTGCTTCACAAGAACGCAAGTCGGATCACCGCCAAGAGCCTCTCAGCCACCGCGAGAAGCTGCTGCCTGTAGGGCCAGCAGCGAACATGATAGTCGAGCCCTGGTTTGAAACACTTGCAGCCAAGTGACAGCTCGGCATCACGTCTTTTCACCTCTGCAACGAGCTGCGCCTCAGCCAGCGGCGGCGGTCGCTTGCATGCTCCCGGCTGCGGCTGGCGAATCCAGGCCTTCTTGAGGGCCCACGGGTCTTTCGGTGCCCCAGCCTGTCGCAGCTCGCAGCATTCGAAGGAGGCTCAAGATGTGCCGGGATTTGCTGCTGCCGTCGTGAAACGACTGCTGAAGAGGCTCAGAGAATGGGTCCGGTCTGAGTAGGTCCCGAGAGTCGAGCCTGCTTTATCGCCCAGCGATAGCCCTCCTTCGGGGGGGAAGCGTGGCAAGCCGCAGCAACAAGCACCGGAATCGCTTTCAGGAGCAGAACGACATGACCGGTGTGGAAGGCCAGGGGCCAGGAATTTTCTCCAAGCAAGAGGCTTCACAGAGCCTTCGTTTCCAGCAACGAAATCCATCCGCTTGGATGGTCGATCTTCGCCCTGACCTGAATCTAAAAGCTTTCATGCTGGCACCGGCTGCCACAGTTGACCGCTGTCAACACTAGAAGCGATCACTTCCTGCCCGTTGCAAGATGCCCGTTTACGGTCGGCACTCATTGCCGTGGCCATCGCACATATCCGGAGCTTTACATGGCTTTCACTCAGGGCTCCCGGCTCTGTCGACCTGCGGCATTGGCAGGACCTTCAGACAGGCTTCAAGCGCAACCATGGTTCAAGCATGTGCTGCCCGACTGTTCCGAAAAGGGGCGAAGCATGCTGCCCTAGTCAACCACTTCCCAGACGTCCCTGGCCTCCAGGACATGGACAACCTCGCCAGCAGCGAGCTGTGCGACCTGCCCCAGGCCGGCCCATGAGGCAAGTCAAGCAACGACCCTTCACACACATCCGGCATGCAGAAACTTCGAACGACTGCTGGACCCGTGACCAGACTGGGCTTCCGGGCCACTGGCGAATCTAGTGACCTCGTAGGGTGAAAATTCCTACTCCAAGCCCGCATTTCTGCTTTGACAGGGCCATCTGAGCAGTTGGACGAATTCTCCCTCACGGCGGCATTGTTATGGACGACGAGGTAGTACCCGGGTAGATCTTCCTGCAGGTTGTCCGCACATGGGCTCGGAAAGGCTCTACGATATGAAGGTTGGAGTCCTTTTTAGTTGTCTTTTCGTTGCCTGTCACCTCTTGTTGCTCGGGATCGCTGGCAACAAAGTCAACTCGTCCCCACCACCGATCCCGGGTGCTTGACATTCAACCTTCACTGAAGATCAGGCCTTTGCATTGGGCTCTGCCCTCTCTGCCCCCTCTTCCGGCGAGACACCTCGAAGTCAACTGCAGCCTTCGAGGGCGACCGCGAGGCCGACCGCGGCGAGGCCGACCGAAGGGACCGCGAGCCCGATCGCGAGGCCATGGCTACTGAGGCAGCTGGGAAGGTTGAAGCTTGGATAGGCTTTGGCTTAGGCTTCTTCTGGCGCAGAGGGACGCTCGCTCTCGGTGCGCTTTGTGGCACGTGTTGGGTCATGCCCCGTACTTCAGGAACCCACTCAAGGACTCCTCGAGCAAATTGCAACTTCACACACCTTACAGTTTCCACGCAGCACTGCCAGTCAGACTTCAGGCGCAGTCGCAAAGTCACTTTGCTGTCGGCTCTCGTCTCTACGCGTTGCCCTCAGCGTCTCAGCGTCCTTGGCTGTGCCATGAGCCACGTTGGCCCACCCGACGAAGGCTAATGTCCTTGGCCTCCTCCAGCCACACGTCACGCGTCCTGCTTGCAAGCCCTCAGAGTCCCTGATCGGAGTTCGGCTCGCTCGCCAACATGATCTCACTGAAGTTCAGCCGGCTGCTGTTGCACCATCTGCGTCCACGACCTGTGACCAGTGTTTCGTCACTACATCGTCACAATCTTCGCCGCCACCAGCCCTGCGCTAAGCAGAACCGCAAATGTCACCTCGGTGCTTATATGGAACCATCGCAGCCAACATAAGCTGGTGAACAGAAGAGTCTCAGCCAGGAGCAATACCCGACACGATGGACCTCCGACCTGGGAACTTCTCCTGCAAAAAGAGGACCAGCGAGGTACCGCAGTAAGAGGCAGCAAGATTGCAAACCTTGGGTGTCCACCAACATGTGACTGCACATGACATGACAATACACTGTTGGCCAGCCTACCCTGAGGACTGAGATGTGCCGCGAGCCGAGCGACCCCGTAGAAAAGAGCCAGCGACATAATGATTCTCCCGGTCAGCAGATACTGAAAAGTGGTGGAGGCCGACGTGAAGATAACACCTGCGGCACTTAGTATCATCGTCAGGAGGTTCTCGGGTGTGGGGCTCCTGCGTCTATCGTCTTTTCACTTTGCAGTCGAAGATGCAGGTCGAAGAAGTAGCAACAGCCACAGACGGATCTACGCCCATCAGGAGGAAGAAGGGACTGAAAATGAGCCCACCTGCGCACAGCTGAGCGCCGTGCAGCCCCGCGATGTTAATCGCCTGGCCTCCAATGCCCACCAGCCCAGCAAAGCCTTGGCTCATGGCTTTGCATCCGAATTGTCACTGCCTAAGGCCCGAGAGCCAATGACTCAGGATAGCAATGAAAGCTGAGCCAAGAAGCAACCAGTGAATGCTGCCATGAGTGCATATTTTACGACCTAGCAAGGCACAGTGTTGGCAGCAGACTAGCTCGATAGCATCCTTGCAAGCCGTAGCTGAGCCAAGGCAGGCGCGTCCTCACGAAGCAGACATTCCTCGCCAATGCACATGTAGCCTTCGCAGAATTGCATCGTTCAAAACCGGGCAGCCCTGTCGCTGCGGAAGACAAGTCTCAGAAGTCATCAGGATCTTCGGAAGACGTGGCGTGACCCACTACCCGGTCACTGCCCCCTTAGAGGAGCACGGGCCCCCGCCCCTTCCACCCTGTATCAATTCGAAAGCCACGCCATTTCCGGGCTTGCCCCCCTTCCTCACCGACTCCTTTCGGACCGCATCTGAAACTGCTTGGGTAGACTACTCTTCGCATGCGGCCGGGCCCAGACAGACGATGGCCAGCGCTTACAATTACACCAGGCGCGAGGCCTTGTCCACTCGTTCCTTTCTTGTCTTCTATCTTGTCGCCCTCACTTTGTGCTCTCTGCCCTCTTCGTTGCTTCCAGGTCGCTGTTGTAGAGTGTCGCGGAAGTGCACACCTCAGGATTCTTCCGTGTCGCATGAGTCCATGTCAGCAGTTCCATCTGTTCTTGCAAATGACGGCATGATGTCTTTGCTTGCTTGGCACGGAGATTGGAAGCAGCAGCAGTAGGTTCTGGATCAAAGCCGTGTGGTTGCACAAGCTTTGCCAGCCTCGAACGCGGCGAAACACATAAACCTGGGGCCTCATGCTGGCAAATATGGGCCCATCGACATCCTGGGACGTGGGCTGTGCAGATGGAACCTCGCAGCACCACACACAACCACCAGCAAGAGCATGCCAAGTCCTGCAATGAAGGTCATGAAAAATTCCGACACAGCATCCTTGCATTGACTTGCAGAGCCAGTGCAAACCTCCCAACACGTCGCTCTTCTGCCAAGGGCTGCCGGCTGAAGCCGCCCTGTCAGCTTTCGCCTCCTTGGCAGCAGCTGCAGTCGAGCTCCTGGGTACTTGCACAAGGGCAGTTTCCAAGGCTGAGGCCACGAAGAGTCCATCCCGCATAACAGCAAAGGTGCCCCCACTCGGCAACGGCCTGACGCCACGTCGTCCGGACTGACCTTCGGAAAGAAACGCAGCCATTTGCGAGCACACGGCAAGTCTATGCATAATGAATAGCATAGCTGTCGAGTTCAAGCACGCCGCACTGACGGACAGACATGAAGTGAAAGGGCGATGAACTGCTAAGCCGAATACGATGACGAACACAGCTGCCACACATGACACACAATGCCAAGCGTTAAAGAAAGCACCTGTAGGAGTGAAGTAAGACGAAGATGACAAAGAGATCAACATACAGTAACATACCCATCAAGAAAAACAACGGAGCACGACAGGAACGGATTGAACAAAACAACAGCAACGGATCACAACGAGAATGAGCGAAAGCATGGGGTTAATCAAACACACACTGCGTGATCGAAGAACCCGACACGGCTACTGAGGTTCCAACGTGTATGCCATGAAGGTGAGGATGCTCATCAAGAACAGCAGAATGGGGCGGTCCCCAGCCGTGTGGTTTATCCTCGCACGGCCCATTCAAGAATGACTCCACACTCTCTGTCCGACCTGAGGCAGGTTCAGCACTCCGAAGAGTGTGCCGACCAAGGCAGAAGGTACCACCACACGGCATATTCCTCGATTTAGCAGAGCGCGAATTCGAGCGCGCGCTTCACGGCTCTTCACTCGCCAAAGGCCCTTGCCATAGTGGATGACCTTGTTCTTCTTGTTAGCTCTACGCATGTTGAGCACCAAGGAGGCCATTGATCCAAAAAACACCTCACGGCGGGGTGGGAGCCTGAAGGGCCCAAAAGCTCTGGTTTCCACCCATGCAGCTTGGCGGCAATTCCTTTAGAGAGCGGCACTGCATCGCGAGTGCTCAGACCACCGAGGACCATCAGCAAAGATACATAAATGCCACCTGGACAGGCAACAGGCACACTGGCCTTGCGCCAGATTTGCCCGGCAAACTTGCCCCCTGTGTCACCGTAATGCTCCGTGCTCTAATGGAGTGTCTGGCTTCAAACCTGAAGTATGCCATAGAAGACTTTCCACTCAGCAGAGGAAGCTCCCACAGACGATTCCTGGTTCATTCCCGCCGACAGACAGACTTCAGCCTTGCGATGCAGCTACCGTCGGCACAGCTAGCTTTCATACACATTGCACCTCCTGGTTGTCTCGTTCTGAGTCCCTCTGGTTGTGCGGCTAGCTGCGTCCAGCTGATGCAGATGATGCGACGGCTCGGGCTTCACAGTTTCGAACTAATGCAGCCTTTGGCTCGGCACTCATGGCCTGCATCTGAAAGACATGAAACAAAAGTTCAGTTGCTCCGAATGTCACAATAGAATTAACACAGATCACATCACCGAGACGACCGGCGCAGCAGGCCTCCTCCGATGCCCGCCGCCGAGCAGAGGACGCCGGAGAAGAAAAGGACCGCTGCACAGAGCAGCGCTTGCGGACCCAGGAAGGACCAGTCCTTTCCAAGGAGCACAGTACACGCTCATCACAGGCCTCGCCATCAAAGCATCTCCATGAAAAAGGGTATGGAGCTGCAGAGGCCGAGGTTCGAGGACCCAGAAAGGGTAGACCCCTGGCACGCTGGATCGCGCGAGGATCTGTGCGGGAGGATTTGAGGGACATCCCGCGAAGCCACTTGCGTGACCAGCAAGACCAGGGTGCCGAGGCTGCCTGCCAAGCAGGAGACTGGGCATAGAAGACTGGGCATGGAGATATGTACCGAGACAACCGAAACCTGTTGGAAGTTGGATGTGCTTGTATGTACCAGTACCCACCTACAGCTAGCATGACACGCCTTGAGGGAACAGGGATGGCAAAGCTCGCACCCAATCCAAGTACCAACAGCGTCAGCTGCAAAGCCCCACTCCTGCGCTCCACAGATCGAACTTTGAACACATCCTCTGCAACATGAGCGATGGAACACCGAGGAACACGAGCAAGCACCTTCTTGCAGGCCATGTCCGCCGTAATGTCGACATCTCCTCCGCTCGTGCAGCGGCGGAATCGGCGGAAACAACGAACCGTTTAGGCAAGCTGACTCTCATTCAGGGACCACTATTACTCTTTGTTCCTTGGCTCGCGGCCACATACCGTGGTGATAGGACAGCTGAGCCCGGTGAGTGCTCACCATCAGTCCAGTGGCACCACTGGTTTTGACTGGCGAGTTGTTGGACATCGTTGCGAGGGTTACTCGTCATTATGTGACGCCCTTGCAGCCACCAAACTAACTCAACTCCCATCGGAGGAGAGGTGGAGCATGAAAGGTAACACACCGTCCGCGCCCAAACCAGGAGCATTGATTCCAAAAGACGCAGCTTGTTGAAGTTCTGACGCACCGTGCCTCACGTGATGCTCTGTCGCACTATTCTTCGCCTGACGCTCTGACGCCCTGTGCATCGAAGCTTTACACTTCGACTAAAGCTCTCACGCACTGAGCTCTGCCTCGCCTCACAAGCTCTCACGCAGCGTGCTTCGTACTTCGCAGTATATGTGCTTTGCACTTCGCCTGAGGTTCGAATGCACCGCTGACGGTGCTTCGACGCTTTCGCGCTTCAAACAACCGCAGCTTCCCGAATAGTGAAAGTCAGGACAAATCCACCTGAACCAGCATGTCATGTGCAGAGACCCCTGCTGAGTTTCCTGCCTGAGATCTTCTCATTGCCAGATCATGGCACAAGCAAGGCAGCACGTGAGGCTACCGCCCCAATAAAACTACTACTCTTCTACTGTATGCTCTCTCCTGAAGAGCCGAGGGGGATGGGGCGAGGGCCCTGTGTGGGACGTGTTTTCGTGGAGGAAATTTCATGGCAATCAGAATGGATTCCATTTGGAAAAATCGGCACGCTCGAGTCCCGGTATGCAAGGTGGATCCACATCCTGTCGATGCTAATTGGGGTTAGAAGGCTGCTGTGATCCAGCACACTTCAGCATGCACGATGCCCATTTAAGCACTTCAGAGGAATCCCAGACTTCAAGATTCATGACACCCTTTTGCTCCGTGCCATACTCGACTCCACGCTTCTGCCATCCTGCGAAAAGACACTGATTTAGGCTCGGGCGTGCGCGAAAGAGGCAAAGAACAGATCACAATTGAGAAGAATGCGTCTTCGGAGCCTCCAGTTCACGCTCCTCATTCTTGACCGGGCCTGACAGCTACATGAATCGGCAGCTGTACGGAGATAGACTTCCACACCACAAGTCCTTTGCCTGACACAGGCTGGCATTTGCTGCTTCTCACTGCCTGCCGAATCCTAATCTGTGTCTCCGCGCAGGGAGCGGATAATGTCGGAGTCGCCCGGATCGGTGATGGACAGGCAGCTCACGCGGTAGTACCTGCTGCGCGTTGAGGCCATTGCTTCGCGGGTGGGTGCCGTTGAGCAGATGCAGCGTCTGCAGGATTGGAAGGCCCCGACCGACCGCAAGCCGTTCCCAGCTCGTTGTTGTCACCATGGAAGTGGTGGACTGCAAGATGGGGGTTGACAGAGCGAACAGCTCTTCAACTCACAGGAGATGCATCGCAGAAACAGCTTTCATGTAGCACACTGATAGGTTATAACCCGCTACAGCTGCTCCGCAACCTCCTGTTTTTGCCAGCATGGCATAGTACTCGATCTCGCTCTTCCTGGCCAGGTCCGCAGTGCGGTTACGACACTACGTCAGGTGACATCCTAGCTGGCCGTCATCGACATCAGCTTCAAGTTTCATACAAGTATCAAGGCTCGAAAGTGAGACCTACAAGCTCAGGTGGCTTGCGAGACCTTACTTGCAGTGCCATGCTGCCTCAAGGCAGGGCAGTTGTTGGAGATGAGCACCAGCTTGGACTGGCAGCAAGCTCGACGGGTCTTGCGCACTCTTGCTGTTGATAGTCTGGTTCCAGCAAGCCAAGGTTTTTTTAACGTCAGTCGGATAGCTATCGCGCCACCTGAGCACATGACGACAGTCACGTCACAAGATTCCACAGCGGCAAGCACGGACTGCTGGTGTCGGCTCTGCACATTTGATTTAACCTGTAAGACAACTGCATAAAGCAAAAGCAGCATCTTCAACCTGCTTGTTCTAAGTTGCCAGCCTTTCCCTGACGCAGAGTCTTCAGGGTGGTCTTGTACCTGGAGAAGCTGAAGAGCACACAGAGAGGAGATCTTCGGAATGGGGTTCATTTACGTCATCTACAAACCTGAGACCCAGCTTCTTGCGCACACAATAACTTAGTCCGGATGTCGACAGGGTGATTCCGTCTTTTCTGCTTCGTGCTAGGCTCGCGACCCCAGGCTGTACTTGCCGCTCTTCATGACCAGCTGCAGACGCGCATTGATGGAGTCTGCACTCTTAGAAGCCTGCCGGGGCATGAATGCAAGAGAACTCCAAGAGAGCACCACTTCCGAATTGCTTGTACCATGATGTTGAGTACAGCAGCCTGAACACCCAAATGAAACCAAGCGATGTTTCTGCCTGAGCCGCTAGCAGTCACTAGCACCCTGCCACCATTTCGTTGAAGACGATGCGCATGTCTCATTTTACGCTTCTTTGTTTCTTCGAGCACATGAAGAAAATACTTTTGACTCTTCTCTCTCCTTCTCTTTGTGGCCAAGTTCCCTCCTTCGTCCATCTTCTTATATCTGAACAACGGTTTACACACATCTAACATTCAGATGCATGTGAGCGAGATGACTCTCTGCAGTACCAAATAGCAAACAGCCAAACAGAGTCATCTTCAAGTTCAAGCTGTGTCTTCACCTCGTACATCTGCAGCTCCACGCCCAGCCCGGTCTCATTCTCCGGTGTACTGTCTGGGTGTTGCTGCATCTGCATCGTCCACGTGGGTAAACCGTCATAGTAATAATGATCTTGGCCACTGCTCACAGGTTGCTTTGGCGTGTTGGGTGAGGTCTGTTGCACACCTGTGTTCCTTCAGGTTGTGCGGAGGCCCTACAGGCCTGCCCATCCGTGCAACAGGAAAAGAAAGCCAGCCTCCCAACGAGAATTGTACTGGTTCCCCACTTGTTTCTCAACCGCATATTTCTGGACCTGTGACCATAGCCGCCATAGCCCGTCTGCCCCGCCAGGTTGGCTTCGGTGGCGTCCGCCCCTGTGTCTTGGTGGGTCTCCCGGCGTTGCGTTGGGACGTTGTGCGCCACTCCTGTACTTCCCCCTCTGTCTGATGGTCTTCCTTGCGGTCCCCATGGCCAGGCTGGGTTGGAGTCCGTCTCTTCATCCTCGTCTTGTTCTTTGTTGGGTTGCTGCTGCGGTGCATTCAGTCCAGCGCTGTCGCTCCCGTGAGCGTCTGCCTCCTTAGGTCTGTTGCCTTCTTTCTTGTCGCGTTTTTGTTCCTCCCAAGTAATGTCGACTATCTTGGGTTTGGCCGATGCTTCTCTTTCGCCCTTGCCTCTGTTGCTTCCCCCCCTGTGCGATGAGCTTGGCATGTCCGAGGACGTGGATGTCATAGTTTTGCTTGATCATGGTGAATTCCCCCAGGATATAGTATGCTCCGCCCCCCTATATACTGGCGGGCCGCCCTTTTGCAAGGGCCGTGGTCAAGGGGTGGACAAGGACAGGGTGCGAGAGGGCCACTTAAAAAGAACAGCAGCGGGTGTGTGACTCAAGCACGGCTGGAGGAAAACGCTCCGACTCCCCAGAGGGTACAATCCCTGCTCAACCTTTGCGCACCCCCCCGATGCAAGGAGGCGGAACAGGCCCCCAAGCAAATGGTGCGATACTTGAACCAAAAAGGCGATATTCTTCACTTCACTTCATCTCTCTCGCTGCGTCTTCTTATCCGAGCCTCTTCTTCTTCCATGCTTGAGGGGCGTGTCAGGCGGGCATCTATAGTACGCGCGATGTTTACGGGCTACTAGCGGGGCGTGAGAGCTTCGCTAGGGTACGTGACTAAAACAATGGCCTGACTGCTTGACTATCATCGCAATAAGTCCTTTTGGTTTTCCCCTCCTGTGTGGGAACATGCACAGCCTGCATGTGGGTTTTCAACCCAAGCAAGCTTCCTACCGTTTTCCCGACTATAGTGAGCATCCAGGCCGTCTGTCTCTGTCTCTGTCTGCGTCTCTGTCTCTCCCTCTCTCTTTCTGAAGTCTAGGGGACCCTCCTTGGACTGCTTCTTCGTCGACGACATGGCGCAGAGCTGGGCACGGTGCTCTGAAGGCACTGGGCGCAGGATCCCTTGGGCCAACAGCAATGGCCTCCAGCAGAATCGTTTCGGTTCTGCGGGATCGTCAAATCGGACCTAGCACATCCACTGCCAACCCCATTCCCCTGCACCTTTCTCAAACCAGCATCCGAGAATGGAACACGTGGCAGGAGAAAGCGGGCTCCACCGCCGTTGCTTGGGATGCAACCCAGTTGCACACACTTGCTGCTCGTGTATCGCAGCAGATGTCGGCTTAACCGAGCAGTTAGGCTTCTGAAGTCATGGACTTCAAGACTTTCCTGCGGCAGTCCGTTGTCACGAAGCAAGAGCCACAAGCAAAACCAAAGACAACTTCTGTGCGAACGAACAAACAAATAAACAAACAAAGAAACAAAGAAACAAACAAACAGCCGCTTGACTCGTTTACTCTTTGCGCAGATGTCTACTGAACAACTGTGTGCAAGATGCCAACCCTGATTGCTTGACAACCCTGTTGGCGCCTGCATCTACCAATGCATTGTAGTGGCAACAAAGTTCTTTGCCCTTTAACAGTGTGGTGATACCATGGCCACGGTGTTAGCGTTACCACAATGTTTGGGGAAACAGTCTTGTTGCCACTGGACTATGTATGGGGCTGTCGCAGATTGACATTCACGATGTGTGTGCAACAATGGCTCCCCGTCCTACTAGTTGTAGGAACTGTGGTCCCCGTGTCCTACTATTTACACAAGATGCTCGCGGCACGTACCTCCCGCTGGGGTATTATTGTTTGTGGAGGATTCGCCTGAGCAGCGTGCCCCGGAGCCAGGATTGCTTGTAAACGATACTACATGGACCACTTCTGCGGAAGGGATTGTGGGCTATCGCCAGATCTGATAAAACCCAAAAGCCCTTGCAGTGGAAGATCTCCACACTCAGAGTTCACATTTTTTGGAGCCGACGCTTCCAAATTTCGTTGCGCCGCATTGTGGTGACATTACAGTTGACCTAGATCCTTAGCGTGCCAAGGCACGGGCACAAGAACGCCACCAGCACTAGCACCAACCCCAACTTGTTCCACAGCATCCGGAGTCCGTTCGTTTGCGACAAGGCACCCCTGTATGGTTCCACAGGCAGTGAGGAATGTGAAGTGAACCTAAGTTTCCACTAACGATCGGGACAGCGTTCTGGTGTGGTGCGTTTCACTGGCGTTTGCCAAAGACCGCTCCCAAACTGACAGGCAAATCCTCTTTGGTAAGCAAGGCCCCAGAACAGAAGGACCAATTTGCGACCTCGCACCCCAGGTTGTATCGGACCACATTGCATCTAGAACGAGGCCGATTGCGAGAGAAGTAAACCAGCAAACAAACACACAGACAGAGAGAGGCAGAGACACACAGACAAACAGACACATGGACACGCGGGCACACAGGCAGATGAACGTAGACCGACTGACAGACTGACAGACTGATAGCCAGACAGACTGCCAGGCAGGCAGGAAGGCAGGCAGACACTGACGGACTGTGAGAGACGAACAAACACACAAAAACAAGCAATACAGCAATGTATGGATGTCGTCAGGCGTACAAAATGAACAACAAAAGACATGTGCTTGCACGGCTATTCGTATCCTTCTCATTCCTCCTGAATGAAGAAATTTGGCTGCGTGGCTGAAAGGGCGGTGGAGTGGTGCCAAAGTGGCTCGATTTCCTACTGGATTTAAAAGTGTTCAGTGGACGAAATATTGAACTGGGTGGAACGTGATGGGCGCGTCAGGTATGCTCACGTATCCGAAGCTAACAAATCTTCAGAACACAAGTTCGGAGACACGAGAACACGGAGTGAGAGATTCAGAGGCCTAGGCTAATGCTGACTTATGGCTGAAGACAACAAAGGACATTTGCCAGCAAGAGCACAAGAGCCAGAAGGAAATCGACAGGACTGGCACGAGAAGATTCGCAGTGCAGACAAGGCGAGGGGAATCTGGTTCAAAGTCGGGTACGACCTCCACTCTCGTTTCGGTTCAGCTGCATGCGTTTGTGGCTGCACAGATGCCTGTGCAGCAGAGAGCCAGAAAGCTAACTTGACAACAGGAAAACGACTCGAGCTGCCCCTTGCTCAAGTCACGCTTCCTTTTCTGATGAAGCGCCACATCGACGAGAGATCAGACAGATGCTGCCGAAGCATGGGCCAGCGCGATGAGGGGAATCAGCAGGTTTCAAGCACTGTGATGGCTTTACACGAGAGGCTTTTACACGAGATGTCTGCTCTGCAGCTGGGTCGAAAGGCAATTGTCGCCGGCGCATGGTTGGTGAACACGGTCTCAGAACGTTTCGTCTTCGTCCTCGCCCAAGATGGTGTCTAGCAAACCTGCGGCGCTCGTTGCCGCAGCCGCTGCCGGCTGCGTTTCCTGCGGCCAGGGAATTAGTTTGGCGGCATCGGAGCAGCACAACAAGCGATGCAGCAGTCCTCTGAATCTGAAAGAGATCTTGACAGCACTTCGTCCAGTCTTTGCCTGGCCATGCGAGTGCATTCCACAATGCGAGTGCATTCCACAACTGGAACTGGGGCTAAGCGCGGTGATCCAAGCACAGCTGTGGCTTCCCTTGATGCTTGCATCAGGTCAGCCCAAGTATGACTGGGGCGCTTCTCAAGCTGCGATTTCTCGTAGAAAATCTTCGCCGTTTCCTGATGTCGGATTTCAGGTCTGGAGGCAAAAAGGCGATTTGGGGGTTTCCGAAAATAGGGGACCCTAATATAGTACCCTAAATAATAGGATCCTTATTATAAAGACCCCAAAATAAGGTACCCCTAATTTTCGGAAACTCCCATTTGGGCTTCTACAATGTAGGAAGCGGCACGTCTGTCAACAGGGTTGTTTGAAGCACTTGCCATTCTTCGGCTCCAGAGCAATATATCCCCTGCTTGAAATCAGTCCCCGCATTTCAGAACTTTCGTTTTTGATAACAGCACTTGCTGAGAAGAATATGCGATGTAAAACAAGGTGTACAGATGCACAGTGCAGCTGCGAGCGCACGGTATATGGTTTCGACTGGCTAAAACATGTTTTACACACCATCGCTATCCGAGCTTGATTGCACACGTGCGTGGCTGCCAAGCAAAAGCTACAAGAAACTCTCGCCACTGACGCCATGGCCTCCGCTTCATCAAAGACCTGACGGTTGTATGTGTGTTTCGACATGCCCTCGGCACGTGTTCAACTGCCACAAGCGCCGCCAATTCCAGGTCAAGCCTACAAGGGGGCTGGTTAATTCGCGTGCGATGACAATAGTGGCTGCCCGAGCAGCGACAGTACTCCCAACTATGTACAAACCTTGACAGGCCTTCTGCTTGTTCAGAAGAATGGCGCCGGGACGTCGCTCCAATGCCCGGATTGAGAACCTTGCGGGAGAAGTGTGGAGGCCCTGAAACTTGACCAAAGCTCGACGAAAGCTGAGGGAAGGGTGACAGTCTCTTGTGCTCCTGCAGCTGAGCGGGAACGAACCAGCCAGGAGTGCAGTCGGCTGACAGATGCTTTGGCTGTACTGCCGAGAATATGTTCTTCGTATGGCAACCTTGGCATTAGCGCCCCGACACGTCATGGCATGACTCGCTCCTGTACACCGACAATGTGTTCCTGGTACGGAAGCCTGGTATTGGCAGTGCGAGTAGAAGTCGACACGTATCGAGGCTTCAGGAATTGGCACTACCGACAGTGCGCTCTTCGTATCGAAGCCTAGGCATTGGTATTGGGCCGAGAATTCGTTGCATGACTCGCGCCCGACCAACCGACAATGTGTTCTTCGCGTGGAAGGCTTGGCTGTCGCATGGGAAGTAATTAAGCACCCCTGGTACGAACAGTGTCCTTTTCACGAATTGTTTGTTCCGTGTCGTCCTCAGATGAACCCTGCTTACCTGACTCATTGACCTCTCAAAACAACAACGTGTGCTGTCGACTGACACATGTCTAAGTAGTGTTGCCAACACTGTGTTCTCCGTATCTCGCGAATCAGACAAGACCTCTTGGTTCTGAACTGCAAGCGTGCACGAGCAACGAAAGCCAGCCGGCCAGGTCGCATCTGAGAGGCTGAAGCCAGAAAAGACGAATCGTCGTCATCGAGAATCCCGGGGCCTGAGGCTCCGGAACTGTACACAAATGCGCCCGGAAGCGCGAGGCTGCATTCGCAGCAAACTCGAGCGAGCACAAGGGCATGCCACCACTGGCTTCGCAAAGAACCTGCAGCCCTAGCCGTGTCATCGGCACACTGGTTAAAGGAGCGGCATGCATCGGCAGACAGTGGCACTGTCCTTGGGGGTCCAGCTGGCACGCTTGCTATGGGACGGAATCCAAACCATTTGTCAACGACACCCGCGAGTTTTAGCCAGCCTGCACGCTGAACTCGTTCAGCAAGAAGCCGCAAGCTGCAGGCACTCCGGTCTGCCACCGACTTGATGGCCGCCTCACAGTCGACAAAGCGCCCAAAAGGGTTTCGAGTGCCAAGAGCTCCATCCGAAAAGGGGTTTGGTCCTCCGAGGCATCAGCCCCCGCACACCGTACTCGAGGCTGGTCGCACACGATCGCATAAGAGCCGATGCCATCCCGACTGCTGCCATCAGTCGCGATGATCACACTTTGCAAGGTCTGGCCAGCGGCACTTTCAATCAAGTTGAGCAGCATGTCGAGGGGGGCATCCATCTTCGTCCCAGGGGCGGGCGGGTACTTCTCAACCGGCCTGCTGAACAAATGTTCTTCGGCTCTGTTTTCCGGGCTAGGCAAATGAGCCCGGTCCTCATTCAACGAAGGCCAAGCCCAGACGAGGTCGTCTTGCGCGAGAGCTTCTTAGGGAAGTGCCAACCAGTGCCGCGGTGGCCAGTGCTGCACGGCGATCCTCAGAACAAGAGGCAACCGCAAAGGCCTGGCGATGGCCCTCAAGAGCAAACCTAGAACCAGGAACCGGCTTAGGGAGGTCTAAACCAACCGCAAAGGTAGGGCCCGGGCGATGCTTCTTGTTCACAACTCGGCCACAGCAGTTGCTTCGCGTTTGTGCACCTCAATCACCCACTTCTGGAGGACGGCACACACAGGTCCGGCCTCTGTGTAAAGCACTTAGAGGGACAATTTGCCATCCACGACGGGACAACACTTGATTTGCGGCAGCGACCTCACAACAATGCAAACCGGCTCGCGCAGCAGGCTCTCCAGAGAAGCGACCAGTTCGATAAGGCGGCTGGACTGTTGTGCAACATGGCGAAGTGCCACCTTTGTGCCGCGCGATCCCGCATGCCCTGGCACGAGGTCGCCAAGGTAAGAGGCTGTCAGGTGGCTGCGCCTCGGTCAGCCCAAGTTACGCCTCAAGTTTGCCTCGAACCCTGCGTTTGACAACGCATTGCACGCACCTTAGTGTTTCCAGCCTTGATGTGGGCTCCTGGACTCCTGGGGTTGCATTGCCGTCGCCGGACGCCCTACACTACACTGCATCCAGGCTGGCACGGCACACGCCTTTATGCTTCAACTGACTTTTGAGGTTCTGCGGGTTCTCATTGGAATGCTCTTAGTGCTTTTTGTGCACTCGAGCGGGCTCTCACCACACCTGCCCTTGACAACGATGACATGCCTTTAGCCTGGACAAAGGTTTGCCCGCCTCAACGGCGACGGAATCTGCAGCAACATGTTGCGTCCACAGGAAACCAATGCACAGGCTTAACATGGGACTTACAGGACACCCCTGAACCAGAAAAATGCTGACAAGTCCAACTGCAGAAAGGATCGGCAGGCACAACATATTCTTTGGTGTATGTCTGACACGGATCGTCCGGGGGCCGACCCACACGTGCGGTGACCGCACCAGCCGGCCACCCTACTCTTTACGTGACGGGCGATGGCCCTTGCACCGGACCATGCCATCGAAAGCCAGGCGATTGGTCGCACGTGTTTCCAGTCTCTGGGTAGCAAGACTACGGTGGCTCGCTGCCAGGCACGAGGAACTACGCCGAAGCGAATCACCACCAAACGTCGGGCAACCGAAGGAACATGGCAGCCGACCACCCGTCGAGTCCACGGGCACGGGATTTCATCTTGGCAGCCTTCCTGAGGTCGGCCGTCGTGATTTGGCTTTGCGGGTGCTGCGGTAGCGCACTCAGGATGCTGCGACACGCGGCCTCCGAAGGTTCGCGATAAGGCGCCTGCCACTTGCGAGTCCACTTTTTGCCTTGTTCCCTGGCCTTTTCTGCTGAGGCGGCGTGCGACGCGCTTCAGGCTGCATCACGGGCACCTGTTGCAGCAACATAGATCACGGTCTGCGCGGTTCTTGACCCATTGGACTGCATGGTCGTTGGACTCCTGAACTTTGGCACGCCACCGCTGTAAGTGGACCTAGTTCTCAGCGCTGCGGGCGATTCTCGAAGAGAAGCCGTGCCGAAAGCAATGCCTCCGGGCGGGCAGCGTCAACGTGAGGAAGCTCGGGCACCAGCTTGCGCGCCTGCCGCAATGATTTATCAACGCGGGCGGCCAAAGCATTGTTCCAGGGTTGGAGCCGAAGCTGCTCGAGGCGATTAGTCAGCCGGCTTGCGCATGGGCATCCAGAGTCAGCTGCACGGGTGATTTGAACGCGAGGAAGAATTCGGCCCCATCAGACAGGGCGGCCCATGCTGCATCCACCTCGCGGGACTCCAAGCCGGCACTAACGTACGGGAACAGCAGGGGCTCCAGGACCCGAGGATGGTCGTTGCGTCGTCATCGGGCTGCGGGGCCTCTTGTAAACTCGGTCCATGCCATGTCTCAAGAAAAGAGTCGCCCTGGAAGCGAGTGAGTACCAGAGCACGGTCAGACACGGCCGGGGCCCTGAGAAGGTCGGGATAGGCGCGGATGACACAGTGTAAAGTCAATCCTACGGGTATTCGCAAGGTTAGTGAAAGGATGCGGGGAGTTGCACGCAGCATCGGCGAACATATAGGCGGGCTCGATGCGGGCTCGCACGTGCTTTGCGCGCTTTGCGCGGCTTCGCGCAGCTTCATGCTTCGCGCGGGCTGGTCGCGCGCGCGGCTTCACGCGCTTCGCGCGGGCTTCGTTCGGGCTTCGCGCGCGCGCGCGCTTCGCGCTGTTTTGCGCGGGCTGGTCGCGTCCCTTTCAGGGTGGGGGACACCTTCAAAAAGCTCTGGCTTGGAAGATGACAGCTTCTAGTCACTAGTCCTTTGCCATCGGCAAGTTCGTCAAGCCGCCGCCCCACTGCATCATGAGACATGACCGGATGCAATCCCAGTCCTGACTGCGAAACTCGAACGGCTGGGATTCCTTCTTGTTGACCGAGGTCCATTCGCCATCTGAAGCTGCGGTGCATCTTCCTGCCGTGGTGGTTTGGTAGCCTGCTCGAGCCCGGGAGGCTCTGAGCAATAGCCTCCTCCACAGCCGCACACGGGTGCCCCTACTCGGAGAACTTACATCCCCTACGGGAGGGGATCGGTGGATGCGAAGAAACCACAAAGCGGACCTACCACGCCTAGGGGCGGCGTAGCAAAATCACCTTCGGCATTTGCCTCACTTGCTGACGCCAGTCCTTGCCTATCCGTGTTGTCCTGCTCTCGGACCTGAGCATCCAAAATGGCACTCAGACCGCACGGTTCGTTCGGCTTCGTCTTCTCGTCGTGCTTGGTGGGTGCTGCGAAGAGCACCACTTACGGGTGTTCGACGTTCATCACAGACACCTGCGGTTGGCATCCAGTCGTCGTCGCAGGTGCAGCTATAACTGTTCCGGCGTGTAGCCTTTGTGTGACATCCCACAATCATAATGCTCTATGTCAGGGCCGTCGTCACCGCCGTCCCCACCATCTGACCAGCCACCTGCATGCCGAAACCCCAGAGGTCTCTTTCGCAGTTTGAGTCTGAGTTGCTTTCTCCTCAGGGCCAGCAGCAGTCGCGGGCAATTCAGCTCCACACAAGAGCCCCCATATTCACAGTTGCCCTTCCACAGCATACTGACGTGGTACCTAGTTTTTCGATTCCGTCGCTCAATGATCACAGCAGCAAGCCGCTCTAGCTCGCACCACTCCCCCGCGGTACCCAGCACCGTGCTGCTTCTCTGAAAACCCACTCCAGGTCGAAGCCAGTGGTGCTCCTGCAGCCTCAGTCTGCTAGGGTCATCCTGCAACGCAATTTGCATCTTTCGAAGCTGTCGTGAAAGGAAACTGTGAAAGCCGGTGCCCCCGGATGAAGGAGCCATGGCGCCTAGAATGTTTGCCCGCTTTCCGAGGCAAGCGGTTGCCTAGCTCAAGCTTCTCCACTTGAGCCCGAATCAGACAAGAGCGGCGTCGACTGACAAGTGCACTGGCTGTGCTACCGACATAGGGGTTTTGCATAATGTATGAAATTCTAGCACAGCGGCTTTTCGAGGCCAGACCCAGCCGTTCCCTGTTCCGTGTCCGTACATCTTTGGTTTGACCCTGGCGCAAACATCGCCCCTGCCCCGCCAAACATCCACTTTACAGTCCCCCGTCGCAAATGCAGAGTCATATACAGGCCACGTGATTGCCGTCCAAACTAGCCCCTCCCTGCAAACCGAAGCTCGCGGTACCCGACCTGAGCCCGAAGCTGAACCCTGAAGCATCTTTCATCCAATGAGGGCACAGGAAAGGAGCGGTAGACACTTTCTTAACGGGCGACACGCCTGAGAGAGCCGGTCTCCGCGTCAGATGACAGGCAGTATACCTTGGCTTCAGCAATTATGGGACTATCCCCATCGAGATGAAAGCCCGAAAAACTCTGTTCAAAGCTCCTGCAGCGCTGAAAGATATACTACACTTCGACTCACATGAACTGCCCGTCACTAGTCTGAGCACCTGTCCTTGATTATCTCGTCGATCACGAAGAGTTCTTGCGGAACGAAGAGGGTGTTTTTGGAGATGTCAACCTGCAACAGTGATAGCACGAGTAGCATGACGCTTCCGGCGTTGATCCGTCCGTCCATCAACCAAGCCTACCACATGCAAACCGGCAAGCGACAGCATACGACGAATCTTCAAGGGTCACCTTGGCAATTTGGAAGGGCGTCCCCTCGATCTCGACATCCATGGAGTTCTCGGGCACTGCTTTTGCATGCGTTCTCGAACAAATAGTCGGAAATCTTGTGAGACGCGTGCATTGTACACAGATTGGAAGACTGGAATACATACCGCACACCGGCAACGCACTTGGCGGCTCAACCCAACTATACAAAGACAGACAAATCACCCACTGCGAAAGTCATTCAGAACAAACCGCTGTAAGCGCCGCACAGGCAAGAAGTTTGTGATCTTTGCCTCGACGACCTTGTTTCCCGATCTCGGACGGCCCTATTGAACTCTGAACACCGGCAGATCAACACAACATACAACCACGGCAGGACGTGCCAGTGATCTGAAGAGCTCTTGCGCTCCAAGTGGCATCGCCCTCGTTTATCTTCTCGGCCAGAACCTAGAAGGAAAGCCAGAGCCACTCAAACTCAAGCATGTACTTTGAAGCACTACCGTCACGTCGTGGACATAAGCGGAAATGACAGCTGCAGGTGCACATCCGCTGTCGATGTTTGACTTGCTGGCATTGTCAGAAGCACGACCGGGTCACGTGCGCGTGACTCTACAAGAATTAATCGAAACCTGTTAGAATCCTACACCGCCCTCCGTGTGTGTGTATATACATATCCTCCGCTTGCATGCCAAGCCTGCAGTGTCCTGAACCATTGCTGACTGAACATTCCAGCACATTTGCCGCATGTTGCACAGACGCTGGCCCAGACTAGAGCTACCTGCAGACAACTACCAGTGCTTGCTCGAAAAGCGTTGTTTTCCATGCCAACGCGTTGCTTTTTTGCGGTGGTAAGTGCTTCCCCCCTTGCCGTTGCATTGACACGTCTCCTTGTGTGACTAGTGACCTTATGCTCTACCTCCAAGGAAGCTCAAAACAGCTAAGCGTCCTCTCGTGATCTGTGCAGTCACGAGACTTCTCTCGACTCTCGACTGGAATCACACGACCGCAGCATGCTTGGTCACCAGCAGGGCCCCGCCTTCTTCATGACGTCCGCATACGAGAAAACGATGGGATAGTCGCTCACCATCTGAAGCAACTACCAGTTGCAAACCCTGTGACAAGGTGGAGGCGAAGCATCCGGAAGTAAGGGCTAGAACTTCTGCACCAGAGTGATACTGCAGATATACGAAAAGTGAAAGACACGACAGGCGCAGACCAACTCTACGAGAGGGGTTGAAATCGACTACACGTAACGTTCGAAAATTGGGCTGGTGTGGGGTTGAAGCATACCCGGAAGCAAAAAGCATCTGCAGGGAATCTGGCTTCCACACTACGCCGTCCACTCATGGCACTCATCGCGCGGCCCTCACATAGGACTTGGACAACACCTCTCTTTGTGCCTGTGGGTTGGTGTTCTCACGATTTTCCGGCCTGTGGTGGCATGCACTGCAAGAAGTGGCACCCTGCGTGTTCTGCAGAAAACTTCAGCACTGAGGCTCGCACTTCACGGCCTTGATCTGCACGGTAAGGACGGCACCTACCATGCCTGGGTCACCAGCCTCCAAAGTCCAAAGCGCTGGGAAGACGGATGTCGCCCTGCCCCCCGCCCCACATGATGGCCTTTTCCCCGAGATCACGCGCAGGGATCATTCCAACCAGGCCCTCCTACAAGACACGCTGCCCTGATCAATTGTAGGTATTAGCGTTGAGCTCGCACTAGAGGTTCTCTTTGCTGAATGCCATGCAGACTTCAGTCCACCAGACTTCTTAACACAACCAGGGACAGGCACAAGCGGACGCTGGGATCGTCAACGTCAAAATGGCCCCGGCAAAATGGCAGTCCTCGGTCATCACCTGGGCACCCCAGCTCCTGGGCCGAAAAGTCTGCGTCGCAAAACACGCAGCATTGCGTTTCGACCCACTATACACCCCAGCCGCGAGGGTTGGGAGCGTCGATGAGTTGCGGGGTGGAGCCCACATGAAGCTACATTAACTACTCGAAGGAAGGTGGAAACCCATCAGCAGACAAGAAATCCCAATTCGGTATGAGCGTCATAGACAGTCTCATTTGTGGTCTACATCCCAAGGACACTAACAAGTCACTCGGCCTCATAGCAAAGCACCATACAGCAGGTTTGCCCGAAACTGTCTCGAATGAGGGTGCGAGTTACAGGGATCGTCAGCAGAAACGCCCAATGAGGGGGCGGTTTTACGAAATGTGATGAAGCGGGATCGCCAAAGGAGTGGGCGGGTAAGAAATGATCAACCGGACGCCAAAGGAGGGCTGGTTTACAAATGTGCTGAATCGGAACCGCCAAATGAAGCGGCGGATTTAAGCAGGGTGATGTACCAGGATCGCCAAATCAGGGGTCGCTTTTAAGAACTGTGCTCAATTGATCGGCTAACGAGGGGGCACGGAGCGTGCGCGTTTCAGGAATGTGATAAACCGGCATCGCCAAATGGGGGCGGATTTAAAAAGTCATCAACGGGATCGCTCAATGAAAGGGTGGAATGAAGATGTGTCATCAACCGGGTTCGCCAAAGGAGGGGGCATGCTTAGCAAATGTGAAGAAACCGAATCTCCTAATGAGTGGACGGGTTTCTCAACTGCGATCAACCGCGATCCCCTGAGGGGGTATGTGATGAATCGGAATCACTGCGGAATCACCAAGCAAGGCACGTGCTTCGGATACGTGATCAACCGGGATCGCCAACTGACGGGAGCGTTTGAGAAATTTGATGATCAACCTGTGTCGCTAAAGGAAGCGGGGGCATAAGACATGTGATCAACTGCGATCGCCAAACGAGCGTGCGCACGCGTTTAAGGAATGTGATCAACCGGGATCGCCGAATGAAAATGGGCGGGCTTAAGATATGAGATGCTACATGAGATGGTGGGATTAAGCTGTGTTATTTACCAGGTTCGCCAAAAGAGGGGGCGGGTTTAGCAAAGGTGCAAAAACGGAGTCGCCGAATAAGGGCCGGGTTTATCATCAACCGCGATCCCCAAATGAGGACGTGCCCTTAAAATATGTGATGAATCGGAATCGACAAAGAAGGGAATTTGATCAACCGGAATCGCCAAAGGGCTTAACAAATGGAATGTGCCGGCATCGCCACAGGGGAGGGCGGTATCAAGAATTGTGATGAACCGGGTTCGCCAGAGGAGGAGGCAGGTTTAGCAAATGTTGTAAACCGGTGTTCCAAAAACTGACGGGGCACGCTTAAGACATGTGATGAACCGGGATCGCCAAATGAGGGAGCGAGTTTAAGAGTTTAAGAGATGTGAACCGGCATCGCCAAATGCGGGGGCGCGATCATGACATGTGATCAACCAGGATCGGCAAACGAAAGGGTGTGGGATTCAGATACGTGATCAACCGGATTCGCCAAAGAGGGGTGGGTTGAACAAGTGTGAAGAAATGAAGACATGGCAAACGATGCAACCCGAAACAAGCAACTAACCCAACCATCAAAAAGCAGGAAGACCTGTAAACGGTGCGTTTGGTTCGCCAAAGCCATCTACCATCCGAATGGAAGATTGCCATAATAGCTAAAACATCGCCGTGAACGTGCGCACCTCCCCACCTTAACGCCGGCACGTCACGTAACGAAGGCGGGTACGCAGCTTTGGGAACACGGGTGAACAACGGCAAGGCTTTCGATCAGGCAATGGTCAGGCACAATGTCCTGTTCAACGCAACCACAGAAAACGTCCTTGCGATCAAACTGACACAATCACCCCGGCCGGACTGTTTTGGCTTTGTGAAGACCCCTGCCAAGAGTGGAATTGCACAGCGAAGAACTGCGGGATATCAGGGTCACCATCACTACCAAACTTACGATAAGCGAGGGTCGAGACGAAATGAGTTTGGAAGTCCACGGCTCTCAAGATATACGCTCGTGAAGCTTATGCTCGGCCTCCTGTGCTTTTGCACAAGACTTTGCCAACAAGTCGACAGCTTGATTGCCACGTGTGGAAGAAACAGGTTGCGAATGTTCTTGTTCCTGAAGATGGGCCGTGACTTTCCTGAAAAGTACGCTCAGATTCTGTCATCTCCTGCAAGAACCTCGTTGTATCAGTTCAGTGGAAGATCTATCTGGTACGAAACAGAAACACAGATGAGCATTGTCCGACCACCACAAATCATCTAAAGCAAACTCAACATTGCAGAGCTCAAGCCCATGCTGTAGACAGCGCCTAACGGCCTAATGGTGCGAGGACTGAAGACTAGCGTCGTAGACACGCCCGGTAATGATATGTCCCACGGGAACAGATAGAAGCGGCCTTGGCCGCCCTGGGAACATCGAAGTTACTGTACCGGGCCATCATCATTAGGGCCGCCACGCCATCTGCAGCACTTGCACTTGCCACAGAGGATCGTAACCTGCGAAAGACGTCTTGGAATTCAAGTTGTGTGATATGGACTTCGAAGTGTACTCGCCTTCTTCTCCGTCCATCGTGCGCTGCACCTTCTCCGAAGCACTTCGAGCAATCCGGCATGTTCACAAGGCTTTACAATCCGTCTGAACGATTCGGTGCCTTGTTCCAGGCCGCATCAAGCTCAAGGCTGGAGAGAGACCTCTCACAACAAACGTTGGGGGCCCTGCTTTCTGGACAACCACCGGATTCTTGCAATTTTCCAGTCAAGGAACACGATGTACTGGACCGCAGTGGGGTCGCCGAGCACCACGGATGTCAAATCTTCCAGGATGCAAATCTCTACACAGAAAGCGGAACAGGTTGGAAAGTCCCAGTGTTGACAGCACGCCGCACACCCAACACTCCGCCTTTTTCCACGACAACCGTCTCAATCTTTGCACCAACCTCCAAGCCAACCTGAGGCCAGTTGCAAGACCTGCCACACAAGAGTTTCCCAACGCCTCGCCTCCTTCACGCTGACAATGGGCTTTAGCGAAGCCAACCTGTCAAGGACTGCATGACCCTGGTCCAGTCTTGACGAACCCTGTGGCACTTCGTGGGTAGCTGCGCCCAACTCTTCACACCGCCACAGTCGAGCTCAACGAAAGCACCATCCTGCGACGTCCAAGTGGAACGCGAAAGGCGACGGCCGCAAACATGCCCACACTCGTCGCCACTCTTAGAGCACCTCGCCAAGGTACATGATCGTACCAGAGACGGTGTCTCCAATCTCAGGAGCGGCCTCGTTAGAAAAACCAGATGTCATGCGGCTGCAGAAGTGCACTTTAAAGGGAGGGCTGGATATAGACCGCGTAGGGCACGGGCCCACCCTTCCGTGTTGAACTTGTTACCCGAGGTCTCCTCCAGGAAGTCCTGCAGTTCGCACTGCGATGTGGACAAATTAGAACGGATTCACCAAAAACCGCGGCGGCTGCGAGACAGTCCAGGAATAGTTCAAGGTTCAATCAACAACACTTACGGCGTACGAACATTCACATGCCTCTTGCCAGCCGCACTGCAGCTGTTGAGACTGGAGCCCTCTGTTGCAAATTTGCTAGCGATGTAGATTGCGCGCGTGTACCTCTTAGCAACGGTGTTCTCAGACCCATGATGATGCCCTTCGCACTACTTGCGAAACGTAGGTGGGCAGCTCCGGGATATATTCTGCTTCATAGGGAACACAAAATGATCTTACTTACTGCGAAAGTACGATGAACCCCGGCCGGTTTGCAGGACTCGCAGCAAAGACCTGGACCTAGATACTGAGTGTAATGTTCAAGCTTTGTTCAGACTGGTGCACCCCCAGAACCTCACACTTTGAAGCATGGTGCACATTGGTGCAAACAGCCGTCGAATCCGACCCTGGAGCGTCCAGCGCGCAGGGTGACAGGAGCAGTATTGCCCCCTATTTCTCCGCAAGGCCGGCATGCAGAGACACCGAGACATCTCCCTGGCAGCAAGGGCAGAGGGCCGATCTCAGCAAACGGACGGTGGAGGCTCGACCTGGCCGCAAGCTACTCTTCCGTGAGCGAGTAGCCTTCTGCTGGGAATAAAGCATTGAAAGGCTTTCTGCCGGAGTGGATTGGCGGGCTGCGCTGTGCCTCTGGAATCTTCTGGGACTCGAAGGCAGCCGCCTCAAATGCTTTCAGGTCCTCGCACAGGGGCCGATGCGAAGCATGAGATAGTAGTGTTGCTAGTAGGGTTGTGTGCTGTGCATTCGGGCCGAGACTACTTGCAAGCGTAAGCTTTGTGCTGTGGTCTCACTGTCTCCTGTTTGCCGAAAAAGCGAATCACAGATTGAAACTCCTCCTGAGCCAGCTCAGTCTCCTCATGCGGCCTCGGCCACACTATCAGCCCTTGCTTGCTCCAACTTCTCTTGAGCCATGTCTCGACTGCCACTCCACTTCGTGCCCCCCATCATCCCCCAGTCACCGGCCTCATCTGCAGCGGGGACAAGCCATACCGCACACCCTGGCCACTCTGACGAAGACAGAATGCTCGCAGTATCTGCTAGTCTGCTGTGTGCTAGTCGCATGGCAAATCGCAAGCCGCCTGTCGGCAAACAGTCAACAGGTTATCATGCACGCAATCTTTGCATCAGCACTTGAAGCCTTGCAATCTCATGACACTGCAAGAGCCCACCGCATCGTATGGCACCGAAGCAGACGCGGTTGCATAGGACCTAGGCAACTTCGAAGCCAAAACCAAGCAAAACAAACTCTGGCGCAGTTCCGCACGGCGTCCTGGAAGCTTGAGGCTCAAAGAGCCCGATTCTTGTGTGCCTGGCTGCTGCTGTTGCATTATTCTTGTGATACCTCAAGCCGTTGCAGCTCTACCACCACTGTGACTGCTGTTGCTGCCAATGGAAGGCGAACTGTCATTGTTTCTGTTGCTTCTGTGACCTGCAGAATCCCTACTGACACCAAACCCATTGCATGGAGGCTTGTCGGAAAGCTTCAAGCCAGAGACCCAGAGCCTTCAGCAGGTGCGTACGAATTTACATGCTGTTCCTTACCAGCGATAGCGCAGGGATCCCCGCCGCAAGGCCGTGCTTTGGGTGGAATGCGCTGATTGAAAATCTTAAAAGCAGCTAAACGTCACTCTAAACGAAGATTCTGGGGGAAAACATAGTGGAGCGTGCATAGGAAAACCCTACAAGAACAAGGAATGCTACTGTAGTTCGGGCTTACCCTGTCACTGGTGCAACACTCTCACGCCCAGCGACGGAGCAAACGGCGAGGGAGGCGTGCCCTGCCGGAAAGCTGAGAGCAAAAGCAGAGTTTTGTGGATGCCTTGTTGGCCAACTGCGCCAGGATACAAACATCGGACATCACGAGTTCAACAGAGTTGGGCCTGCCCGGAGCTTTGAAACGGCGAAGCGCTTGGCCCAGGGGCGAAGGGCGAGCTCGTAGCTGCGAAAGGACCCGGCGATGTGCTGCGTTGAGCAAAGGGGCCCGTGCCCGATGCCTGCGCCGCTCAACAGCATCCCAAAAAATTCTGCAGCAGGAACTCCACCAGTCCTGGCCTGGCTGCCAAAGGGAGAGGCGGTGCCCGCTGCCCCGAAAGGCGAGGGAGTTGAAGCACCGAAGGGCGAGGCCCCTGCCGGAGCCGACCCGCCTGCTGAGGCTGATGCACCAAAGGGCGACGAGCTCCGCGACGCGCCGTCGAACGGCGAAGGTGCCCTGGTGGAGGCGCTGGCTGCATCCTGGCCCACCATTCTATCCATTCCCAGATTGAAACTAGGGTCTCCTGCTCGATAGATATGTCCGATTCCTCCCTGCCTGTGCCTGGGATGGTGCTGCAGCATCAGCAGAGCCAGACAAGTAAGTGTTGAACTTCTGCTTGCTCTCGCTGAGAAGCTTGTTCGAGAGACTACCCCAATCCCCACGCGGCTGCTGTAGCATCAGCCAGCGATGCTCCTAAGAGTCGGCAGGCAACACACAAGGCGACCAAGATCTCATCGTGACTTCCCGTGGTTCATGCTCATGAGCCCTCTCTGCGGTTCACCTACCATTTTCGACGCGTGTCCTCGAAGGAGGTGTCGTTGGTGACCACACATGCCTACAGGATTCAGCGAGCAAGGTTTTCTATCTTACAGCAGAAAAGTAGCTTCTCTTCAGGCAGCATGATTGTGTTGGAGCGTTAACGTTCTGTTCGCTGCGATGTCATCATGTTTAGGATTCTGAGCTTGGTCAACGATCGACCAGCTGCGGACCTGCAAAATGTCACTATGCAGCGTCATGCGTTTGCAGGCAGTCCTGGTTTTTGGGGCATGCAAAACTCAGGGTGGAAGCAAGAGCTGCTTCGTCCGTACCCTTGGACTACTTGTTGTGCATGACACGGGCATCCTGAACCGCATTCCGAACGAACCCCATTCGAACAGCCACCTTCGTCTGTGCGTCCAGTACTGGCCTAGATCCAGCACTGGAATCACAGCTCACAACTCCGTTGGACTACACGCGACGGCTTACGGGCCTGCAAGTACTGAGAATGAGGCAGCGTCACCTAATCAAATTTAACTTTTCATTCGGATCCTTGGCAGAGGTCTCACCTGGTTGTCCAGGCCAAAGCTTGTGAGCTGCCAGTCGACCTTCCGCAGCAGCTCCGGCAGCAATTCCTGCAACTCGCAGAGTCATTCTCAGGAGAGGCCAAGACTTCACAGCAATTACTGGCGGTGCTAGTCACTGCTAGTCGCTCCCTTCCCCTGCAGTTATGCATGTTTGTCAACTCAGAACGTGCACACCTAGGAGCCTGCTCTCGCAGAAGATCAGCAAGACCGCAAACCATAGAAGTTCTGTCTGGGCAAATGCAGCGACAAAAGCCGTATTGAACTTCCAGCGTCCTTTGCGTCCTTCGATGCAGCACCAGCCTATCACGGCAGACATCTGCTCCGATAGGCTTTGTTTCTGAGGAAACATGGCGTGCACATTGCAGCTACAAGCAGCTACCAGATCTCTTCTTGCACTCTGCCCCGGCCTTTGCAGAAGGCACTGGCGCCGTGGCCTTCGTAAACGGAGAGGCACCGGCCGGCACACTGGGAGATGCCACAGCACTCGTTGGCGCACCAAAGGGGGATGTGGATGTGCTGGCACTGCCCTGCGCAGGAGGTGCAAAGGGTGAGGTTGTGGTGCCTTGAGCCCTCGCCGACGCTGTAGCTGGAGCATTGGCACTCTGCGCAAAAGGTGATGCACCAGAGCATGCCCCGGCAGCGAAGCTTGAGCTGCTCTGCGCGGCGAAAGGAGATGCCGAGCTTGCTCCGCTTGCTCCGCTTGCTCCTCCGAAAGGTCCGACGGCTCCCTGACCTCCAAAAGGCGATGCGCTCGCCACAGTCGCAGAGCTGGTGCCAAATGGCGAGGCCTGTGCCCCGAAAGGCGGAGTGGCACTGGGAGCTTGGCTCCCTGCCGCGAAGGGTGATGCGCTTCTTTGTGTTGCGGCTGGGGGAGTGAGGGGAGCGGAGCCCATGTTCGCTGCACCGCTGAATGGCGAAGGAGTGCTCCCCTGCCCACCAAACGGCGATGGTGCTGCAGGTGTACCTCCGGGATTTCCGCTGAAGGGTGAAGCAGCATGGCTTCCAGGGCCTGCAAATGGCGACGCGCTTGGACCGCCCTGACCAAATGGCGAGGCCGATGGCTGCGCCGGGCCCCCAGCAGCAAACGGGGACACCGTACCAGATCCGAAGGGCGACGCTTGTGGCGGGCCAGCTGAGGCTGAGAAAGGTGAGGCCACTGCACCACCGCTACCGAAAGGCGATGCGGAGGCACCACCACCGCCGCCGCCACCACATGCTGAGGGCCCTGGAGAAGGTGTAGCGAATGGTGACGGATTACCTGTCCGAGGTAAGTCATACAGTAATGTCGCCCCGAAACAAACCCCGCACTGATGCGACAATCCCTGCGAAGGCTGCAGCTAAAGCAAAACGGGAGGCCTGCGAAGGGTGAAGCTCCGCCTGCAAAGGGAGACGCCTCAGCACAACCAAAAATGCCAGGTCTCTTGCTGCCATCTGCCAAATGGGGATACGGCCTAGCAGCACCGAAACTAGCGCAGGTTAAGGCAAAGCACGTAGGAGTTCGCCAGCTCCGCCGAGCTTCTATGCAAGAACTACATGGAAAAGAGAGACCCCTTTACAAGTCGTTGGACAATTAAGGTTTCTCTGCTTATATCAAAAAGAGGGAACCAAGTCCAAGTCTAACTACTTGGCGATGCACATCTGCATCCGAGAGTTACTTTAAACTCGCCGTCCATCAATAATTGAGATCGAGGGGCATTCATACAGAGATTCACGTTGTTTCGAAACCGGTGTGGTTCTGGTGTTAGGTGTCCCATGGCGTTTGCATGGGGAGTCGCTGGATTTTCGACATTTGGCTCCCGGAAAACCTGGCACGTTCTCGACTCCGAGTCTCCCGTCGTCTTGCCCGAGGTGTTTGGAGAACCCCCGAGTGGATGTCAATTTGTGCGAGCCTCGCTGCGGTTTTGGCTCCCATTGCTTTGTGCCGGATGCAAAGGCGATCGACCACCCGCCGGTTCAAAAGGGCGGAGTCGGAGTGGGTGGGCTCTCGCAAACCTGGTGCAACTAAAGCACGGCGCTGTGGCATCATTTCGTATGTGCCACTGCATGCACGTAATGCGTTAGATCGCAAGGCCAACGCTGCATGCCGTGCTCTCGTGACAGTTGCAGTGTCATTCATTCTGCAGCAGCCTGTCTTAGATCACCAACCTCGGTCCCGTGGAGAACGTTGAAGCTGAACTCAACAGAACATGGTGATATAGTCGACTCGAAACTCTCTCTCGGACCTCACCAAATCTGAGGTCGCAGCAGAAACCGCTCCCGCAAAGGCACCCTGCCCAGCTCCAAACCTCGTGGCGTGACACAGAACGTGCGGAGAGAGGAGACTTTGCAGACTTGTTTTGTCTACTTGTCGCAAGCACTCGTTGACCCCAGCCAGGGTGTCCAAAGGGTCTTGTTTGCCATGCTGCATGTTGCCTGACGTGAACCTGCAGCCTCAAACCTCTTGACCTGAGTCCGGCAGTAAGTAGACACAGCCGACTCAAGTCTAATGCCTAATGCTGACCTTGTAATCAGATTGTGATCACCTGCTTCCCCTCCGTGAAGTAGCTCGGGCCTGCCTCTAAAAAAAACGAAGTGAATGTTTCTCTTTGCCTGTCCTAGGTGCACCATGCCGCGGCGAGCGAAGTTCCATGGGCCAGAGATGGGCGTGCGCAGGGAGCCGGTGCGCTGTGCTTCGAGGTTTTTCTGTGTATCTCAAAACGAGCCTTGTTCGGGTTGAGTCTTAAGCTGAAGGCTGTTGGCCAAAGCGCGAAGATCCACCTCTGCAAGTCTCTTACATGCAGCCGCATGGGTGACTCTGAACCACCAGATGTACAGCTGCCGATGCTTGCTAGAAGAAGTAGGGCCATGATGAAAAAGAACTGACTAAGCTCCTTGCTCTCGTTCTATTGCATATGCTGAAACCATAGCTGCGACCATGGCAAGCAAGAGCTTGATTGATTGCGCAGGAAACGGAGCAGTAGGCCAAAGCTGCTTGGGCACTGTCCCGGTACGTGAAGCCGGCACACTTCTCTGTGTTGGCAAGCATCCTCGCAAACACCACATTACAGAGGAGATGAACCTGCTGCTGCGTGCCTTGGACACAGATCACTGGCATCTGAGAGGTGCACTCAACATCGATCATCAAATCGCGGTTCTCGATGTCCGACGGCCCGAGGTTATCAAACCTTCGGCAGTTTGAACGTTCAGACGTCAACTTATACGAGATTGCAAAGGATGCAGCTTGAATGGCGAGGTGGAGGTCAAAGCCTTGGAGCCCTCTTCTCCAGTTCCTAGTAGAAAAGTCAAACCGTATTTCCACGAGCAGGCACCTCCGGATGACTGTCGGGTATTTCAGGGCCAGCGGATGCCACAAACGCAGCTTCTTGAAGAGCTCAGGCCTGCCATTCAGGGTCGGGCAAGGGGATCATCGGAGCAGGCTGCACCCCGTGTCAATACCAACAGCTCGTCCGCCGACTCTGGAGCCCACTCCGACAAATAGCTGGCCGGCAGCACTGCTTGAGAATGCATCTTCGCTTGAACTCGGCTATTTCGTGTCGCCGTCTGTTCTGGAAGGGCAGCAAGTGACGCGCCCACCTCGGCAGTGATGTGGTTACGGATATGAAAGCTGACTGAAGAAGCATCTGCAACCGAGGGCTCACAAATTTGCAAAGAATGCCATAAGATCATAAACATTTGCAACCAGGCATAGACTGCAATGCCTGCATGTCATCTCGAAGTATCGTAACATATGTTGAGGGCAGACATGACCACAAGATTCTCCGATCCCCACACAGAAGTTTGTCCGGCAGTTGCTCACTTGCAACCTGGCAATGCTGGACAGCTGAGCTCAGCCACTGCCACGTCTGCTCTGAAACCTCACAATCGGTGTATGAATGCGAACGGTTGAACTCGGTTCTAAAGACGTGAGAGCATGCTGTGAGGTGTCCAAGCTGAACGGGTGCATTCGAGTCCGAGTTGGATCTGACACAACGCAAGAAGCAAACAATTGAAGTGTGGCCGACACAGACCAGATGTGCCAGCCTTTCCAGTAGCAAGTGCAGAAAAGACACCATGTCCTCGAACTCGATGTCCGTCATGGGCATGAGTTCTTCAAGCTCAGCAGTCTTCGTCGCCAGCCACTCGGCCTGTCTTGCGTCGAGGTCCATCGGCTTTCAGGCCGCTACACCGCCGGACTTCCGGTCCTTCTCCTCCTCCGTCATCTTGGTGGGCGTTCCGCATGGCATCCGCGGGTCCTTCCACATGACTAGTGACTAGTGCAAGGCAGTGCAACACACAAAGTCAAGCGCCCGTCCATGTTGTAGCTACCGGTGTACCGGCGCTGAACGGTGCTGCGTGCCTTGGGAAGTGCAGCGGGTGGAGAAAGCCGTACGTAAAAGCACAAGAGGATTAAGTAAAGCATTCTGCTGACAGTGCTCTGAGTTCCCGGCAACCACGACGCAGCCCACCGCTGCAGCGAGGCCGACCTACTTCGGCACATGCTGTTGTCTTCAAAAGGGAGCGGCTGGTATGAGCATGCAAACCAGACGGGGAACACTTGACATGAGCCGGACATTCGGTGATGAGAGCTGCGTCTGGTGTTTGCTCTCGAAATGGCGGGTGAAACTCCCGGTTGGGCTGAGAGCACGGCGAGTGGCAGAGAGCCGCACATGGCGGCGGCCCTGTCACAGCAGCTTCGCAGCTGAAACACACGAAGCGACTTCACTGAGAAAGCTTGCGCAAGCAGAAGTGGAAGATAACCGGCAACTCTGTGATAGGCCTGCCTTTATTCTCAGGTGCATCCGGCGTGGAATTTCGTTTTCTGGAGAGCCCCCATAATCGTAAGTTCTGTCCTTGATGTTGAGTGAATGCTCAAGGTAGAGTCGGTCCCAGACAAACTTCCAGGTATTAACTACTTGCGTGTGAGAGGGGTTAGGAGTGTTTGTTAAGATTAACCAGCATCATTGCATTCACCATCATCTATGAAGCACACCATGGAAATTGCGGGCGCTGCATCCCGGGCGGCCTAGGCTGCTGCATGTGGTGCAGCTGCGGTCCACGAAGTGCGCTCTGACCGGCCGGTGAGGCCTGTAGCTGCGGTAGCAGTAGCAGCATCAGCAGCATCAATGGCAGTAGTAACCACAGTAGCACGAGTAGTGAAAATAGGAGTAGGAGCAGTAGCAGCGGCAGTAGCAGTAGTAGTGTAGTAGTAGTCGTCGTCATAGTCGTAGTCGTGGTCGCCGTCGTAGCGGTGGTAGTGGTGAAGGTGGTTGTAGTGGTAGTGGTAGTGGTAGTGCTAGTGGTGGTGGTAGTGGTAGAGGTAGTGGTAGTGGCAGTGGCAGTCGCAGTGGTAGT